ATGTCCAGAACTCGTACCACTTCCTTCATCTCATGACTACAATTTTTGCTGAAGAAGATGCCGATTTTTCCCGATTAATCATTTGTCTAGATCCACGGCTATATATGTCCAAAATCTCCGGCAATCTATTGCCCCTCCTTGCGACGCTTTTGAGAAAACAATGCAGTAATCCGCAAAGAGAAGATGCCAGATCCAGAGAGAGTGTATTCTAACTCTAACACCCCTTGAAAGATACACTGGACCAACTGATTTTAGGAGACATGATAATCCTTCTGAGCATGACAGTAAAAGGTGAGGTGAGATAGGATCACCTTGCCTAGTACCACGTGTAGGCCTGAAGCCTTATGTCCAAACTCCATTCATTTTAACAGAAAAATAAACTGTTGTCACGCACCTTATGATCAGGTTCACAAAACATTCATGGAAGCCGAGCTGCAGCATAATTCTCCGCAAGTATTTCCCATTCTACTCGGTCGTACGCTTTGGCCATATCCAACTTTATTGCACAGGCCCTGAACTTCCCTTTCTTACTTTTAAGATAATGAATGTGCCATAAGCAATAAGCAACTAATATATTATTTGTCATCAGACACGCTGGCACCGACTAACCCCATCATCACAGATAATTCACCATGGTGGCCACATCCCATACACCCATTTGGTACGAGAAGGCCATGTCCAAGGATCGCAAATGACTAGTTTCTCAGAAGTCAGAGCTACGGCATCACATTTTTGCCCTACCACCATATCGTAATTATAACGAGGTGGGATCATGTAACGCTGGGGTCTGGACGTCCGCCCGTCCGGACGTGTCTCTCAGATGCGCAGTGGATCAGCCCAACGAGGCAACGTCCCCCTCAAATTCCCTCGTCCGTTTCTAATAAAAAAAATACGCTCGTCGCTCTTATCCGCTCGTTGCTCCTATCCGCTCATCACTCCTATCTGCTCATTGCTGCCTCAGAGGAGCAGTGCTCGGCCACCGGACTGTCGGCCCTATCTGCAAGGCGCGGTGTGCGGCCGCCTCCGAGCCACGGCGCTCGGCTGCCAGCCCTGCATGCTAGGCGCGACGCTCGGCCACCGGACTACTGGCCCTGCCTACTAGGCGCGGCGCGCGGCCGCCTCTAAGCCGCGGCTGCCCTCTGCCTCCCTGCCGCGTCGTGTGACTGGTGCCTTCCTACCCCCTCGCGTAGCCGCTACCGTCAGGCCACTGTCTCCGGCGAACTCCACACGCCGACGAGCCTCCATTCTTCCAAGTAGCAAGGAGATGTTACGATGTGCTGAAAATGCATGTTGCAAGCGTATGTTTCATATGTTTCAGGTGTTTCATAGATATGTTGCAACTGTTTCATGCGGATGTTGTAAATGTAGATCGAGATGTTGCATATGTTGCAATGATTGTACACATATGTTGCAAAGGTCTGTTTCCAATGTTTCATCTGTGTTTTCGGATGCATGTTGCAAGCGTGCTTTATCTGAATGTTGCTTATGTTTCACACATATGTTGCAAGTGTTTTATCTGGATATTGTGTATGTGTTTGCAATGGTTTTCCAGGGTTTTTTCAAGTATTTCAGAAGCATGTTTCAAGTGTTTCATTTGCCTTCAGACATATGTTGTAAGTGTTGCATCTCGATGTTTCAAAAGTAAATCAGGTGTTGCATCTTCCTCGTCACTTTTCTGTTGCCTCGTCTCGGTGTCTTCTCCTCCTCCGGGCGTCGGCTGGGCATCCGCCGCTCCTACTCCTCTCCCCCATGCTGGTGACGTTTCGGGGCGGCGCATGAAACTTACGCGGTATGCGCATACCAAAAGCAGAAGGAGCGCAGGCGGAAAGCGGGATGGGGCTCGGGTGTCCGGATGGGGCACGGGCTCCTACGTGCGCGTGGACACGCGTGAATGGAGCAGCAGGCACCGGCGTCCATGTTGGTAAGACCGTAAGAGAATCTATGCTAACAGCATAATTGAAGCACTAAGTGAGGCAACAAATACTTCTCGTCACTTTAGGAAATAGACAGAATAGGCCTTATATCCAATTTAAAGCACAATTGGATTCGCGGCCGAAAATAGATTAGATATATCATTGCTCCACTGGAGAATCCCTTTCACTTTGGCATCTGAGGTCTGTTGCATGGTCAAGATACGCAATCAATTTTTTTTTAAAAAAAAAGCGAAATCCATTGTTTTGGTCAACGTCAACCGCTGAATGGAGCTTCCCTTCGGACTTCAGGGTCATGCGTATCCAGTGGCCATCCAGTGGCCAATGTTCATGTTTATGGGCCCGTTTCGAAAACCGTAATTATTATATGTTCCAATTTGTTGTCTAAACCGAACAAGATATGGACAAAATTTTATCAAACGTTAAAATCTTTAGACACCAATAACTCTGAAGTTCTTTTGATCTGGTCACACCTTAAAATCTTAGACAAGTATTTGTCCATGAGCATAGCTAGAACTCCACTTATTTCAGAGTAGATGTATCTGTAAATCTATATTAGAAAATAGTTGCAAAATCTCAAAAAAAATTGAGCAGTTTAAAGAATGTGTTCTATCGAACACTAGTGGCCAAAGATATGCACCTGTTCACTTGGCTGAAAAGTACTGTTGGTCGATTTGTTGTGAGAGAAAAATTATGTTCCTTTGCTAAAAAAGTACGGCTCATAAGACAAGCGAACATAAGACTGTGCAAAGTCAAATGTAAGTAGTGTTTTTATAGATGGAGTATTACCTAACGACAACTTTGCTTTCCAAACATGCCCCCCAAAGTTCAAGTCGTTGGTTGCTAAAGGTTTCCACGAATTTGGTGATGCGCTGATATCACAGGGAAGAAAACAGTTTTTCAGAGGAAGTAAGTGAGCCTCTGGTGGGAGGTATGGTTAAACAACCAACCATCTAGGTTGAAAGCTTCACCTGGCTTGAATTTGGAAATCTATTCTTTTCTTAATGATGAAAAACTGTATAGTTCCTCCTAGATTGGATCTCTCTTTTTATAACAGTTTGACATCCAAATTAATCAAGCAGACACGTAAATCAAGAAGAAATAATGCCGCTGTGTTCCTGGAGAATGAAAGGAGCTGCAGCCAGCTCACTGTAATAGCGTATTTTTGTGGTAGATTGAAGCGAAGCTAGCCAAGAGCATTCTCAGGGTAGGATCTGCTTCTCTATATTACATGGATTTTCTTAAATCCTAACGGTATTTTACTAAAGAATTTACCTATTTTATGGACCCGACAAATAGGCCTAAATTCGCCCATGTGGTGGTAGATGAGTAATCTTCTTTTTTGAATACCAGTGCTTGACTGCTTGTGACTTGTAGTGGTAACGAAGTAACGATAGCACATGCTACCATTACACATTTCCACTCTTTTGTTAGCAGATTATTAACATTCCACAGGGCTCTTCCATTCAGGCAACAGCCCATGTGGTGTGCCCTGAGAAATAGAGATATTGGACCTAATAACCTGGTCGATAAGTGGCATGGTTAAACGAGTTGATGGAGCACTAATCATGCTAGGAAGACAATATATGTTTGGCAGTGGGTAAGCAAATCAATCGGACTGCAACTGGCACAAAAGAGGATAAGATCACTGTTCGCTGGTGTATGATACTGCTCAGGCTACATCCAGATCCAATAGGGACGCCTTTTTGGATGAGGTACAGCTCCGAGCAAGCCAAAGATGAGCAACGGCAACCCCACTTTGGGTTTGGGCAGAGCTTAGGAGGATCTGGATGGCACAGCATCCGTCCTGAGGGCTGGACTCCACGCAGCCGAATACATGCATCGATCGTCTTTTCCTCCTGCTCCCTCCTGATATTTTGGCTTTTCTAGCTACATTGTTTTTGTGATATATATTTAGAAGGTATATATCCAAGTGCCTAGCAAAAGTTAAGTACTGAAAAATAATCAAATCGTGAAAAACTAAAATGGGCATCCCTAGTGCTTCCACTCTATAACTGGATAGCTCTCAGCATAATCATAATACTAGCCTTGACACAAATCTCAAAATAGAGTTTAGACCCAACTTGGAAACACCTTTGGGAACATTCTAGTACACTTGTACCGTCTACATGATGGAATTGCTACGGTGCATGCACTGCACGAATCTGAAACATCTTTCAGGCAGATTTTCGCTATGCCAGGTCTGGGCACATGGATCACCATCATCCAAAGCAAAGGAGAACATCCAATCAAAGTAATCCAGTCAGAAAGCATCGATGCAACAAAGTCGTGGCAAGCACAGGAGATAACTGATTTAGCATTCCACATCGGATGATAGAGATTTCGACCACAACTTAACAATAAGTGACCTCTTGTCAGTAGTCGCCATAGCACAACACCAACCATGGCAAACAGAACATGAGAAACACAATAACCAAACCACTCCATGGCAAAGAAAAAAGATGTTCCATCAGATTTTACCCCACCAAAATGCACCAGATAACTCCATATACAGGGGCCAGTAAACATATATTGATGGGGAACCACACAAACAAAAGGTATGCAAGAGATGCTGTAATAAATAACCACAAGCTCTCCTCATAACAGCATCCATGTGTATTCACAACATCTGGACAAAAGCTATGTTGTGCCAATGTTTCATTCCAGTGCAGTACTACGAACTTCTGCTCGTGACAAATCATTACCACCAAGCTAGAAGTAATGTACACATGTTATTCCGTCTCATCCAAGTTTAGGACCTGAATGATTAGCTATGTGCTCATCAAAATACACCGTAAAAGCAATTAAGGTATATTACAGCATTTAATGCTCAGCCACAATCTTGGAAATATTCCATTGATTTTTATCCAACAATGCAGGAGGAAACCTGCTTGTTCAATACTAGTAGCAGAAATGAAATGCAAACTGGCAGTGGAAAATTTGTGTTACCCAAGAGGCAAAACTTCTCTGACAAATATTAAGCGCCTTAATAGTCTACAGGTCGCACAAGTGATACAATTATTACCAACTTTGGGTGGATAATAACTGAAGGAGGGAAAACTTTCCTTGTCATTTTAACATCTCAAAGAGTTTCTCTGCAACCTGCATAGTAGCAACGATCAAAACAAGTAAGCTAGTGTTCAGTAAACTAAGTACTGGCCACATCAACAAGATTAATAGATTTTTTCGATTAATAGATACGAGTATATGGCCACACATAAGCAAGAATCACTCACATTCTTGTCAACGCATTTCCAGTAATCAAAGTACTGGCCGGTACAGTGCTTGTGCCCAGTCTCGTCATTCTCAATCCTCTTAACACATTTCTGTGCACAACATAAGTTTCATAAGCTCTTGCTCCAGTATCACATCCAAAGATATCATACTCTATACTAGTAAATAAGACATGGAGAATTTCTTGAAATGAAACTGGCAAAAACCTGAAGTTCTAGTAGGATTGTGAAATTGAAACATAAGCACAGAACAGCAAGGTGGCCATTAGTATTACTACCATTGGGGTCCAACTTAGATGTCAACATAAAATGCTCAGCTAAACTTATAAGACTTCAACCACTACTATACATTAATATATTTACTATTTAGATATGTTATCTGAGAATTACTAGCAGATTCATCATCAAGTGTTCTTCGTCATCATTTAATTAGCTTTTGGTAGTATGTACTTAGAAACAAGAGTAGTCAAAGGTGTCTATATGAGGCTGTGTCCATTTCCTAATTGGAAAGTAAATTGGAATGCACATAGTGACAGGTTCATAAAATTACAGATAAAACAGGTGGGAGGTATGAATGCAGTCCAAACCCAAGATACAATCCCCTTTTACGTTATATAATACTACTAGTCTCTCAGCAAAATAGAGTTGCTAAAACAAATAATGGAACTTTCTATTCCGAAGGTCCTTGAGATAGTATAAAATTCTACACAAATATAATATAAGCAGATTTTCTTTCTAGCGGAGGTTATAAGCAGACCATATTTTGACCTATAAACTTGGCTCAAAAGTATATCCCAAAAGCAGCCTGACTTAAACAAAAAACAACAGATAGATATTTCAACAGAAGTTCAAAAACACTCTTCAATTGATCAAGAACTTGCCTTGATGCACATTGTTCTAGCAAGTTTATAGGATGTATCATTTATACAAATAATTTAATCAAGTTCGCACGCACATAAGCAACAGCCAATACAAAATGAAGAACCAACAACTGATATAGCAGCATATTACCTGATATTCATACCACTGCGACACACACTTAGCCTTTGAGCGTTCCTCTAGGAGCGCCTTTGGATCAGTAACCTCCTCATCCGCCCTGTAACACAACACAAGATACAGAGATTAAAACAAGAAATCAAATTGAATGTCTAGCATTAGAGAACTCGAAAAAATCAAGTAAAAAATAGGCAACTACCATCTAGCATGAACACATGTTATTAATTGAAAAACGATACAAGTACTTTGTATTTCTAGATGAAGTTTTCAGGAACCTCTTAGCACGCCAAAACATTTTTAACAACACTTGCAGAAATACACTAAGCTATTGAACATCAAACCACAGAGCTGATGTACCATTTTGGTTTACAAACAACACGCTAATTTCCAACCAATGGAAACCAAATCTATTTTACACTTGTTCCATGTCAAGCTTAGTCAAAGAGGTTCACATAACTCATAACTCACAGAGGATTAACAACTTACTTTTTAACTATTCTAACATAAATGCTGTTCTGAATGGAGATAGAGCTGAGGAAGCATCTCGGAACATTTTGAAGTTTATTAGGAAAGACACTTTTAGTGAATACAACAATCAGAGGCAATGAAAGGAAACTAGAATAAACACACCTGTTCTAAAAACTACTTCCTGCCCTGCCTACACACCAATCTTCTGCCCAACGCCTAATAACTGGCCATTGACTAATCCTGACTAGATGCTACAAGCTGCCTAACCTTCTTCCTAGCGTCTAAACAGTTTTTAGAACACCGATCAGTACCGATGAAAGCATACACACTTCACACCAAAGAACAACGGCGCAAACATAAACATCAGGAATCACACATAGACAAAGACGATGCAACTGTTTGTTTGGTGAGTGGTGACCCATGCGTCATCCTATCGATCCTGCGGTCCTGCCAATGCCGCAGGCTGGGTGAGGCTGGCACCCCCTTAACCGAGCAACAAGTAATTCAACGCACGGCACCAATAAGCAACGCGCCTGATAATCGTCTATCAAATCCACTACATTGCATCCACGAATTTCTTAGGGAGTAAAGAGTAAACAAGCATCCACGGATTTGTCAGGAAGTAAATCCACGAGTTTCTAGAGGCACGACCGATCCGAGCATCGTCAACGGGAACCCGGTCGATCCACGCGCGATGCTTGGATACGGATCAGAGAGAGGAGACCGCAAGGAACAGAGTATGGATGGGGATGGATCAGATCGGATTACTCACATGGGCGACCGACGAACTGCGGCGAGCAGATGAAGAGCCTAATCCAACTGCAGAGGACAGCAGGGATTAACCCTAAGTAATGAAAAAACAGATGCCTTCCATGAATGAATCACGAATAGGGAGACGGATCTGGACTCACCGGAGCGAGAGGAGAACGGCGAGTTCGGAGGGGGCGGCGAAATGGGGGAGATGTGATGAGCACGGGGGAGGAGGGGACGAAGAAAGCTTCGGGACCCGCGGGTGGGCTGGAGAGGAAGCGGGCCTGTTGGGCTGGGCCGTGCGCCGTGAGATGGGGCCGCTAGTTCTGGGAAGGCCATTTTTTTAATACAAAAAACATGTTTTTGTTTTATTAGGAATTTGTTGATAATAATGTCTGAACAGGTCTATTGAAACAATTTTAAGCAATGGATTTAATTTTATTTTAGTTATTTGTCTATATCTTCTTTGTATAAAAACACGATGTAATCATGAGTCGCTGTCGCTCTGCATGCATGCTGCCGGCTAATAATTTTATTCATTTCAATTAGTCATGAGTAGAACCATGTTTGAAATGCAAACCAATGAACCTTTTCTCTCTGTTCGATAGCTGGTGGCTGCAGTGTATAAATCAAATGGTAATGCTAGGACGTCCGACACCAGCGACTCCCCTCTCGGACGCATGTCGTGACGCGCACCACGACTTTATCTCACTGCTCGTCTAAATAAATAAATAAAAACAAAATCAACTCCTAGCCGCCTCGCCCTGTTCCGCACGCGCTGCACTGCCCAACAAGCTCCCCTCTCCCGTGCTTCCCTGCTAGTCCACTCTCTCTCTCTCACTTGCCCATCCTGGCACATGCCCTCCCCAACCCCGGCATCTTCCTCCCGCATCCCGGTGGCTCCTTCCCCTACCCGGCGGCGCCCCACCCCCCACCTCGACATCCTCACCCACGGGGAGCCCCTAATGCCGCAGATCCGGTGGCCTTCTCCCCCACCTCGACGAGATTCATGGAGGTGGTGCGGCGTTGTTGCTGGGGAGTGGGAGGCTCTCCCCCACCCTGCCTCGCGCGCACTCCCCACCCCCTGCGGGGCCCTCTCTCACCCCGACGACCGAGCTCCCCCCACCTCGGCGGCCATGGCGCTCCTAGCCTCATCCTCCACTGTTGTCGCCAAGCCAAGCCTGGTACTGGTGGCATTGGTGGCGGTGGTGCTCGCGCGCAGCCGCTCGCCACCGTCTCCGACCTCGACGACCGGCCCAGTCTTCCCCTCCCCTATGTTGCATATATATATTTCAAGTGTTTCAGGAGTTTTAGATATATGTTGCAATTGCTTCATATGGATGTTGCAAAAGTAGGTGGGGGGATGTTGCACATGTTGCATATGTTGCAATTATTTTATAGGCATGTTGCAAGAGTTTGTTCAAAATATTTCATCTGTTTCTAGATGTATGTTGCAAGCATTTTGATCTGGATATTGCATATGTTTCCACACATATGTTGCAACAGTATGTTCCAAAATATTACATCTGTTCCAGTCTTCTATTGCGGCAAGTGTTTTCATGTTGCAAGTTGCAAGTGTTCTATCTGGATGTTGTATATATTTTCACACATATGTTGCAAGTGTATGTTCCAGATGTTTCATCTGTTTTAGATGTATGTTGCATTCAAGTGTTTTATGTTGCACGTGTTTCATGCTGTTCGGAGAGTTAGGAAGCACCGGGAAATGGGGCGCGGCGAGCCGGTGGCTGGCAGATATGGTGCTCGGCGCGCTGGGGCCAGCGGGTGGGGGCACGACGGGACGGGGGTGCGCCTGCGGGGGCGGAGCGGACGGATGGGGATGGAGGCGGGGTGCGTGGATAGGGGTGGGTCAGGCGTCCGGACAGGCGTCCGATGAAATTAATCCCCATTGGATGTCCGAGCGCTAGCACTTTACTAAATCAAATTTTAATCTCTTTCTTTTTTTCCCATGCTTTGATTTACTCTTACACTAGAGCTACGCTTAGAACAATTATGTCTATTATATTATTTTTCGTAGTTATAAAACTTTTTAATGGTGTGTTTTATATTCCACTTCTGCCATATAGCCGTATGTACCCTAATATGTATGGTTTGGGCACCTAGTTGACCCTAGTCTTGTGGCTTCTACAGTTTTGTGCAGATTCGCCACACTGGAGAAGGTGACCTACATCAATCAGATCAGGGAGTAACTGATTTGCAAGATGTATATGCCCTTTCATATATTGGCAGATCTAGAATATTTTGGTCTCAACAAATTTATGAGGCACTAAGGTGCCGAGCCGATCGTGATTCACACTGTGAACTTATGAATATTCGGCTGATAATGGTTGATGACCATGGGCCTATTCGGCTAGAATTATTTGTAGCAGCAGTGGCTGTCGCTGCTGAGAGGTTGAGACAAACATTGTGTCATTGTATCAACGGTAGATACATATAATTGCAGTGTTTTTTGAAATGTTGCAAAGCCTGGATGGAAATAAAGGCAGAAATACTGTGCCTATAGCATGAAATTTCATCTTTGAGTAAACCATATAGTCATAAGAAAGTAGGTTTTTTAGCGTTGGACCTAGCAAAAGAGAATCACCATATACTAGGCCCTCCAACTTCTTAAGGAGTTTATCTAAAAATTCACAATATAATGGAGACCATTCAAATACCACACATGAGTCACTCCATATGCTTGTTTGATTTATCCCATTAGATATCTTCATGTTGAGAATCAATAGATTCTACTTCGAGCTAGTGTACGGCATCAGACGTAGCGATCAAGCAACCCAATGTAGGGAACTTGGATGCCGATTTCATCGAGATACGATAGTCATTCTGTTATTATTTCCTATAACTATCTAGGAAACATATACGTAAAATGGTCGCCATCTATGTAATCCTATCCCCTAGAGTATATAAGGGGGAGTAGGGAGCTCTCGATCGGTACCCATTAGAATAGTCAACAACCTCTTGTAACTCAAGCACTTCAAACTAGATGTAGAGTACCACACTTCAAACTAGATGTGGAGTACCACGTACCTGAACCAATATAAATCTGTGTCACATGTGCTACCATTTTGATTTCCTGTGCGTAATACGCTATTCAACATTGTTGCGGTCAAAAACTCCGTCAATCATCAAGCTTTGAATCGCTTAGTGTCATACTAGGTTAGTTCAATAGTGTTTATAACCACAAATCCCAATTGCATGGTATACGCCCTGTTCGTTTGGCTTAGAAGCCGTACTTTTTCAGCCAACGAACATTATTTTTCTCTCACAACAAATCAACCAATAATACTTTCAGCCATGGCTTATCAGTCAAGCGAACAGGGCGATAATTTGTAGAAACAACAGAAAGTCAAGTTGTATGCAGCCTGTTTGCTTGGTCGTATTTGGCTTATAAGCCATGGCTTATCAGCCAACGAACAATATTTTTCTCTTACACTAAACCAACCAACAGTACATTCAGCTATGGCTTATAAGCCAAACAAGCCCAAACAAACAAGGCGATGGTTTCTCATCCAGCATTATCAAGGCTGTCACAAACTCACAAGATGGTACTTTGAAACAAAAGATAGTAAGCATGTCACCATTTCAACATTTTCAAAACAAACAGTGCACTAAAATGAGTTACAATGAGGACAAATTTCGTATGTTTTTAAATATTTTCTAAATCACACACAACGTACATTTAGGGCTATCTGCAGTGATTGATTAGTGAGAAAAGACATATTCGTACCTTGCCTTTGGTGTTCTTTGGGTAGTTGGTATATTGACGCAAAATAAAAAAAATGATTACGGTAAAGTCACTGTAAGTGCGTTTGCATGGAATTCTGGCTGATTTATTGTGAGAGAAAAATATTGTTCCGACTGAAAAAGACGGATTATAAGATAAACGAACATGGCCCATAACTAGAATCATTGCCAAACGCATAAAGAGAGAAATATTTTAGAAAAAATTCGCTAGGAACTAATTCTCATTTTTGTACTAATGCATTGTTTAAATCTAGAATATAAAGTTTTGGGGTGTCACATCGGATGTTACGTGAATGTGTCGCATGAGGTGTTCGGATACTAATAAAAAAACAAATTATAGAATCCGTCAGTAATCCACGAGACAAATTTATTAAGTCTAATTAATCCGGGATTAGCACATGTGTTAATGTAGCACCTTATTGTCAAATCATGGACTAATTAGGCTTAAAAGATTCGTCTCGTAAATTAGTCGCAAACTATACAATTAATTATTTTTTAGTCTATATTTAATACTCTATGCATGTGTCAAATATTCGATGAAATATGGAGTAAATTTTAGAAAGAGAAACTCAACAAAGCCTAATTCAGATAAATCACTTGCCGCTCAGGTCTCGTTCGGTTCACTGAATCTTAACTGAAATTGGCTAAAAAATACTATTCTAACTAAATTGTTGTGAGAAAAAAATACTATTCTAAACTTAAAAAAAATTAAACCGAACAGACCAAATATATAGAACGGGCCTTTCGCCGAGGCGCGGACCGCGGAGGCGCCCCGGCCAAACCAAATTGGCGTGGTGGCGCGGCTTCCAAAAGAAGCCGAAAACCATCTGTACCCACCGACCAGTAGGCCCTCCGATCCTCCCCATTCAGTCCTAGCCAATAGGAGCCCAGCGCCACCCATCACGCGGATCGTGACTCCGCCTCCACCTCATCGGCGCCGTCCATTCCCATCCAACGCCACTCCGTCACCACGCCCATCCCTGAAAAAGTTCCCGGCTCCCGCTCCGCACCTATAAAGATCCGCTCCATCCCAACGCCTCGCATCGCTCCTAAATCCCCCAGCAAACCAACTCGTCCCCAAATCCACCGCCGCCTCCGTCTCGCCGTCCTCCGCGCCAAGCACCCAAGTTTCCCGATGGCCCGCACGAAGCAGACGGCGCGCAAGTCGACTGGCGGCAAGGCGCCCCGCAAGCAGCTGGCCACCAAGGCGGCGCGCAAGTCGGCGCCGGCGACCGGCGGCGTGAAGAAGCCGCACCGCTTCCGCCCCGGCACCGTCGCGCTCCGGGAGATCCGCAAGTACCAGAAGAGCACGGAGCTGCTCATCAGGAAGCTCCCCTTCCAGCGCCTCGTCCGCGAGATCGCGCAGGACTTCAAGACCGACCTACGCTTCCAGTCCTCCGCCGTCGCCGCGCTGCAGGAGGCCGCCGAGGCGTACCTCGTGGGGCTCTTCGAGGACACCAACCTCTGCGCCATCCACGCCAAGCGCGTCACCATCATGCCCAAGGACATCCAGCTCGCGCACCGCATCAGGGGCGAGAGGGCCTGAGCGAGGCGGGCTCCTCCTCCCCCCTGAAGCC